TTTTATTTACCCGTCACACTCATTAAATCTATAGACACAATAATAACCTTGTATTTGACCTACCAGAACATATATTTCGTATAGTATACAACACAAATACTTCGTATATAGGTATGGATACTGATAATTTTATATAAATAAAATATACGGAGTATATATAACTAAGATTTATCCCTACCTTAATTATAAAATGGTTTACAAAACTCTTATAATAGTGCATGGACATTTATATATCTAAAAATGTTCTTTTTACATATATTTTCCCCCATTTAATTTTAAAAGCCTTAAAATTGTCTCCTGAATTCGCTAAATTGATTTAAAAGGTTATGTTAATTTCAGTATTTAAAGCCATTTACTATTTTCATTTCCTTTTGCTTTAATTTTTCTATTTAGAATTTATTAGACTATTAGGTTTCAAAATTGAAGTCAATATCTTTTTACCGTACAATCACTAAATCAAAGTCGCTCAACTAAAGTTTTGGACATTGCATAGCTACACAACATTCAAGACATTTAATGATTACATGCAAATAATTTTAATAAAACAACGCATTCGATATAAGTTATTAAACAATTTAACTATATATACATTTTGATAAGTTTATATCTTTCATATTAACAAAAATTTACAAATGTTATTATTATATTTTGAAAAAAAAATTAGACTTTGGAGTTTTGTATAAGATAGATAAAGGATAGGTTAATTTCCGTCATATATGCATTGAGTTTTGGGTGTTCTATCCGGTTCACCCTTTGGGCTAATCCAGATTTGAGGATTTGCTATTAGGTTCCACTCCCCTTCCAATTGTTGTTGCAGGGGAGCGATGACAGGTCCTCCCTACAAAGTGTAGTCTCAATCTCCACTACACCAACAACCAAACATTTGTTATGGAGGACACGTGTTATAAAATATTATATTATATACATATACGTTTTTATATTATAAAAAATATTATATTATATACACGTACTATTATAGTTAAAAATATTATTATGTATAAAAACAACATCAATTATTGCACATGATTGTTGTATATCTAGTATAGTACATGAGCAATGCACGATTTTTAAATCAAAATGTTAAGTTTTTCTAAAAAAAAAATCATAAATAATATCATTGTTAATATGAATATTACAATTTAAAACACGAGTAATAGTTATAATACATTTTATATCTATCCCTTTTCCGTCAAATGTCTAATTCAATTAAACTTTTATTCTTCTTGTTTAGATTGGTAATTGGTTCAGTTTTTTTTTTTTTTTTTTTTTTTTTTTTTTTTTATGCAAGAAAAACAAAAGGTCATTGTAAAATTAAAGACATTGTATAGAAAATGAAAGGCTGATTAAAATTAAATTTATGTTCAAGATTATGTATTTTTTTCCAAGACAACATTACGGCTCAGCATTCAGTATTTGTCGAGTACAACAAACGATAAAAGTAATTTTTACACTATTTTGTATCTTTATCAAAAACTTTTGTATTCATCCGATTACTTGAATTGAATTTAGGATAACTTGTAGACTATTTTGGGTAACTTTTATCAATAAAGCATAAATAATTTTCATTCATTACAGGGTAGCTTTTATAATAGGTGCACAATATTTTATTGTACATCTGATTTTTTTTAAATGTTTGTATTGATTTCATAATTGACGTCAAACTAAATTCTATTGATTTTATTTAATTTTCATAAAAAAAACAATATTAGTGTGGGGAATAAATTTCAAGTGCTAAACCCCTAGCTCGAACCCCACTGTGATCATACATTAAAGTACGGTGGTGTCCAAAGGGAAAGAAGATAGAGCAAAAGAGTCGCCAACAAGTTTTAGGAACTTGTAAACCGTTCACAGGGTGAAGGTTACACCCCTTAACGATCCAAGAGATCGTCAACTCCATAAGGTCTAGAACCAAATAAGGGTTCGGGGATGAAGGTACAAATCCAACCTAAAAGAGATTGAACCTGCCCTAATAATAGGCCTCTACTTTATTCAGATCGTATTCATGTGCGCTTTCTGACTAACATGCAAGCAATAGGATTAACCCTAAACATGTTTATCTATGTTGGTTGAATTTAATGCACAAACAAAACTATTACTGGTGATCACTTGAAATTATAATCAAATTAACCCTAACAAGATTATTAATTATCTTATTAAGCATGATTACAAGTACCAATTCCCTTTAAACATGCATAAAAAGGTGTGATCAAGCAATAAAAAATAAATATCAAGCAACATAATAATAATCATAACAATAATAATAATAATAATAATAATAATAATAATAATAATAATAATAATAATAATAATAATAATAATAATAATAATCATCATCATCACAATAATAATAATAATAATAATAATAATAATAATAATAATAATAATAATCATAATCATCATAAACTATAATAATTATAATCATAATCATGTTCATGTTAATATTAAAGCATAATAAAATAAAACAGCAAGATCCTAGGCATGATACTAACAAGATTAATAACAAACCCTAGCATGTCACTAAGCAATAAAAATCAAATCTTTAGCCCTAACATGATACTAACAATCATAAATATTAGGAAGAACATAAAAGACATCATACTTTTAATCATACTTAAATATTAAAATTACCATAGACATGATACTAGGAATATCATAATAACAATGAAAACATGATTTCTACATCATAATATCAATAAAAACCATTAAAGTACTTACTTTGATGACTCGTACCTCTTTATAATAACAAAGTACACACGTTAGTAACTTCAAGGAAAATAATAATTAAAACAATTAAATTAAATAATTGAAAGAGAGATTTGAGACCAAACCCTCACAAATTAAACCTTTCACGTCTAGGGCGAAGGGAACTTCGAATATGGCTAGGTGTTTCTAAATCTTGCGAATGTGGAATTTTGTATATAAAAGACTAGTTTAGAAAAGGAGAAAGAAAGAAATGAATGAATGATTAGAGAGAATGAGAATTAGCGAATGATTAAAGAGAATGAAAGAGAATTTAAAACTGGTTGTAGGTGATTATAATTGAAAAGTTGGTTGTTGATGAATGAAAACGGAGTTTATAACACGTTATTGATAGAGAAAATCAGTCAAAAAGATAAAATTAACAAAACAGAGTCTGGCGCACGCAAAACGAGATTGGCGCCGGGAATTGGCCATTGGCGCCAGGCGCCAGTCCTGTTTTTGACGCGTTTTCTAAAATCAGATAAATTTTGCCGTACAGGAGGATAGAATCGTATCTTTTCCTCAAAAATATTCTTTGATTTTAATTAAAACTCTGAAAAGTCAACAAAAGTCAATTTATCAACGCTAATTGAATTAGGAATGAAAAGAACCTTCTAGAAGAATCTAGAAGACTAAAATCATTCCTAATTGCATTAGGAATGATAAATCATATTAGGCCCTCCCCTAGATCATTGGGCCGCATATAAGGTTAAAACCGGGCCCAATTTAGTAAATTGGCCATAACTTCCTCAATATTCATCGGACTTGGGCTTATAATATATCGTTGGAAAGCTCTTATCCAGCCCTATCCAACTACACTACTATTGGACCTATATCATGGACTAACCAAACTGGATTGGCTGTTTTCTTAAAATAAGTTTTCAAAAACAGTGAGAAGAGAAAAGAAATTAAAACTTATCCGCAACACTAGACTTTCCACACTTTCACTTCATTTGAATATGATTCGACGCGAAAGGTACTCATCACTGGGTTTGGTTTTGGGGAGACACAAATGGGTGTCTACAATTAGCCTTTCAAAATACGAAATATTTGTTTCCTTAATTATGCCACTTTAATCATATTGCTTCAAATTAGTTATTATTCTTTAACTTGCCTATAAATAAAGATTGGAAAGACTTTATGGATTATTTGTAGTATTGGAAAGTATATATTTATTATAAAAAAATTAAATCAATATTTATGTTAGGAAATCATGAAAATCTTATGCATGTATAGAAACTTGCTTTTATTGTTTGAAGTTTAACAAAAATAACTATGCTTGAATATGTAAACAGTAATTATATAGATATATTTTATACTTAAGATAAGCCGAAGAGAGAGTGATATTTAACATCCTCACATTGAGGCGCTTGTCTTTTAGTATAATATATATAGATAGATAGATTGTAGACTATTTTGGGTAACTTTTATCAATAAAGCATTAATAACTTTCATTCATTACAAGGTAGCTTTTATAATAGGTGCACAATATTTTATTGTACATCTGATTTTTTTTTAAATGTTTGTATTGATTTCATAATTGACGTCAAACTAAATTCTATCGATTTTATTTAATTTTCATAAAAAAAAAGAATATTAGCCTTTCAAACAATCTATCCCTTTTCCGTCTAATATCTAATTCAATTTAACTTTTATTTTTCTTGTTTAGATTGGTTATTGGTTCAGTTTTTTTTATTTTTTTTATTTATTTTTTTTATGCAAGAAAAACAAAAGGTCATTGTAAAATTAAAGACATTGTACAGAAAATGAAAGGCCGATTAAAATTAAATTTATGTTCAAGATTATGTATTTTTTTCCAAGACAACATTTCGGCTCAGCATTCAGTATTTGTCAAGATTTATTATACAAAAATTAAATCAATATTTATGAAAATCTTATGCATGTATAGAAACTTGATTTTATTGTTTGAAGTTTAACAAAAATAACTATGCTTGAATATGTAAACAGTAATTATATAGATATATTTTAAACTTAAGATAAGCCAATGAGAGAGTGACATTTGTCATCCTCACATTGACGCGCTTGTCTTTTAGTATAATATATATCAATAGATAGATAGATTGAAGGAATATACATTTTTGTAACCTATTGAAGGAGTATAAATAATTATCTACATACGTTAATGACAGATTTTGTTAGCAAAAAGTAAGATAAAAATAAAATAAAAGTAAATATAAAAATTGTAGTCAACAGTACACAAATGCAATTCATGATCTAACTTTCAATGTTACAATGGATACTGTTGGCGCAGCTCTTGTAGTGTTTGGAGGCTCTTGGGTGTGTTGGCGATGCAAAACTAGAAAAAGAAGAAAGGAGATCAAACTTAGACAAAAGTACTTCGAGAAAAAACTTATAGTACAAGGGTCTTCCAATATAGATGAAAGTAAGAAAATTAAACTCTTCTCATTAACGGAATTAAAGAGATTCACAGACAACTTTAGCAATGATCGCGTGCTTGGACAAGGAGGTCAAGGTACTGTCTACAAAGGAATGTTAAAAGATGGTCAAGTTATTGCAGTTAAAAGATCAACATCCCTCAATGAAAGCCAATGGAAAGAATTCATCAACGTGGTAATTCTATTATCTCAAATCAAACATAGACATGTAGTGAAGAGTCTTGGGTGTTGTTTGGAAGATAACATACCTCTTTTAGTGTACGAGTTCATATCTAATGGAACTCTTTCGGAACACATCCAAAAATCCATTGACGGGTTTATATTCACATGGGAAATTCGTCTGAGAATTGCTTTCGAAACTGCTACTGCAATCACTTACTTGCATTCAGAGTTTTCAACACCAATTTACCACAGAGACATTAAATCTAGCAACATTCTATTGGATGACAAGTTTGGAGTAAAATTGTCGGATTTTGGAATTTCTAGAGCAGTTTCTATGGAACAAACTCATTTGACTACTGCTGTCCAAGGAACGTTTGGTTATTTGGATCCTGAATATTTCTACACGGGCCAATATTCTGAAAAGAGTGATGTTTACAGCTTTGGAGTAATTTTGGTCGAGCTTCTAACAGGACAAAAACCAATCCGTGCACTAAGACCAATAAATGAAGATGAAGAAATCAAACATGAAAAAGAAACAAGCTTGGCTAAGTATTTTGTTTCATCAATGAACGATAACACTCTGGTTGAAATTGTTGATCCTTTGGTATTAAAGGGTAGTATAAAAGAGGATGTTTTGGAATTTGCTTACCTGGCAACACAATGCTTAAATCCTACAGGACAAGAAAGGCCGACGATGAAAGAAGTTACAATGGTACTCGAAAGGCTAAGGCATCCAAATTTAACTTGTAAGCCACCTTTCGAACCAAATGATGAATCTGAAGATTGGACAACACGGAGTTCTAGTATGATCACATCGTCGTCCATGGAAACAGGCAATGCTTTTCCAATATCTGTGACTTATGAGCATATTACTACGAATTCGGATTCTGCTGAGGTTTGAGATGCATTTACTTCATACTTGTTGATGAAGAACTGAAGAAGGCGGTCTTGTTGAGCATAGTTTATGTAATTTGTGTGGTTTTGATGTATGGTGATCAAACTTTTGAATAATACTTTGATGTGTTGAATGATTGACCTGTTAAAATATGTATGTTTAGTATTGATTACTAGCAGAGTCAGTAGACTACTAAAGAATTGTGCTATGGAATGGTTTTAATTATGATTGTATTTCTTTCACTTAAATTTTTTTCGAGTTGCAATGTTGTATTATACTTTCATTTTTGTCAACGAAGACCATTTATTATATAGATCGAATAAATTTCTTAGATATTTGCATTTTAAAAAATACTAGGTTAAAATCCCGTGCAATAATGCACGGTTGTTAAATATTTTTTACAATCAAAATATAAGGTATATAAAATATATTCAACATATTTTATTTAGGTATATATAAAATAGGATTAAAAAAAAAAATTTTGCAAAAAAAAAAAAAGAAAAGAAAAAAAAGAAAAAGAGATAAGTGAGACAGGCGGGAAAATTTTTTATAAGGTAATGACAAGTGTTATAGATGGATTTGCTTTTAGTATAGGTTAATAGATAGATTGTATTGGAAATTTCTAAACAACTTACTAGTTAACACACTAATGTAAGAGTATAATATTTCAAAAACTTTTGCAATTAAAAGTAAACGGAGAAAATATAACAATATTATAGCAACTTATAATCATTAAATATACTTTGTATATATTTTCTAGTCCCCTGATTATTTTGCAATATTTGACACAGTTTTTCGCTTTTAAAAATGAAACGAAACCAATAATAATTTAAGGAATAATTGACATTTGCTACCAGCGAAAACACCTTGTGTCACATTTGCTACCCGTTTTTTTAAAAAAATTATTTTGCTACCACACAAATCCCTAAAATATATATTTCACTACCAAATGACTTTACCGTTACTATTTTCGTTATTTGGGTTTAGCCACCGTTCAACCACCTTGCAGCCACCCCTCCACTTCACTGCCACCCCTGCTCCCCCCTTGCTGGCACCGGCGCGACCCCACTCCTCCCCTTTGCCTGCGCGACCCCACCCCCTCCCTTTCCCTCACTTACGCAGCCAACCCCCTTCCTATTCCCGTTCTTCCTGCCCGACCCCCACCCGAACCGGAAACCACCCCTCACTATTCCCCCCGCCGAAATCGACCCCCTCACCTTCCCTTACCCTTTCGACCACCCCTAATCCTGAACCATTAGCCCCCAAACCACTCTAAACGAATTTAAGGGTTTCGATTTCGATTTCGGGGTTTGGGGCTGGTGGTTTAGGATTTTGAATTTTAGGGTTTCGACTGGCTTGTGGTTTGGGGTTGGTGGTCGGGGCAACAAGAAGGGGAAAGTGTAGGTTGGCTGCGTAGGGTGAGGGAAAGGGAGGGAAGTGAGTTCGCGCCGGCGCCGGCAAGGGGATGGGAGGGGGTGGCAGTGAGGTGGAGGGTGGCTTGGTTACTTTGGTTTATATATTTTTTTAATTTAATTTTTTTAATAAACTTAACGGAACCTTAATGGACTCCGTTAACTTGTGAAATTTAAATTATGTAATTTTAGGTGGTAGCAAAATATATATTTTTTTAAACGGATAGCAAATGTGAAACAGGGTGGTTTTGTTGGTAGTAAATGTCAATTCATCTATCTAAATGACCCATTATATAATCTAATCTCTGCTTTTTTTTTTTTATCAAATTTTATACTAATAATTTTGAAAGAATTGACTAGTTGAATGTCAAAATCTATTTTGAAGCATAGAATTATCGTTTGAAATATATATATATATATATATATATATATATATATATATATATATATATATATATATATATATTTTGAGATTGTCATTGGGGATCAGAAAGTTGCTCTGCCTTACAAAGAGTGGTTAGCTGATCTGGGAGTCAGTGTCTCGATGCCGAAGTCACTCGTCAATGAGTAGGCAAAATCCTTTGGGGAAGGTTGTTTACTATATATATATATATATATATATATAAGGGATCCGGTGAGAATAAGTTCATATATGAGAATTCATACTTATATGAGAATTGATCTATAATTTAGAACACGTGAGTAAAAATTTAGAACATACGAGTAAAAATTTAGAACATATGACTAATAATTTTGAACATGTGTGTAAGCAATAATTTAGAACATCATATTCAAGAATTAAAACATGAGAGTAAAAATTTAAAAAGTTCGCTTTATGAAATTTAGAACATATGATTAAAATTTAGAATATCTGATTTAACATTTAGAACGTGTGAATAAAAAATTTAGAACACTTGGTGTAAAATATAGGAAATGGGAGTATAAATATTGAACATATAAGTAAAAATATAGAACATGTGAGTAAAAATTGGAACATATGCTTTTGAATTTAGAACATATAACTAAAGATCTTATAACACACGCACATTTTAAAATTTTGAACATATAAGTTAAAATTTCGGAATAAGTCATTCGAAATTTATAACATCTAACTTAATTAATTTATGGTTTAAAACTTGTGAGTACTAATTTAGAACATAAAAAGTGTTCTCACATAAGAAAAATTCTCACGAGAGCCTCCCCCTATATATATATATATATATATATATATATATATATATATATATATATATATATATATATATATTTTGCTTATAAAATAAAATTATACAATTTTTGAATAACATTTGCAACCATCTAGCTTAACCCAACATACTAGGCCAATTTAACTCTGTTTCAAATAAAGGACACTATCCGTTCAAAAAAAATAAAATAAAATAAAATAAAGGACAGTATTCATTGATAGCCCAAATGAGCAAAGTATGATCCAAGATTCCAAGTAGGATTGTAAAATACCTGGGCTGTTGGGCATCAAGTCTTATTTATAAAATGTCATGATGCCAATTGAGTTGGTAGCTTAAGTATAAGCTTCTAAATTTTCTTGCAAAGTGTACATTTCAACCAATTTGCAAGGCTTTTTTTTTTTTTTTTTTTTTTGAAAGGTAACCAATTTGTAAGTTCATATGATGAAAAGACGATTTGTTCAGGCTCATATGCTCAGCAATGTGATAAAATCCCATAGAGAACAAATTATAAATCATAGATTCCAGACCTTTAGAAATCAGACTATATTTAAACTAAAATCGATTCAAAAGGAGCATGGTTCATCTAGCTATTTTTGTAGAAAAAAAAACTCTTCACTTAGATTTGATGTGTTTTCTTCTGATGAAACGGTTATTTTAGTAAGTACCTTTTTTAAGATTTCTTAAAATGAGAAGAATGAGATTGCGACAATTCTAACAAATACTCATATAAAAAATGTTGAATCTTATCTATAAAGTATCAATATTGGTCAAAATAGAAAAGGTAAAAAGTGCAAAAGTTAAAATAGAGACAACCTACTTTGACCATTAATAGCTTATTGGAATACAAATATATGGGCATCACATTTATTCTCATAGAGTCAAAGTATATATAGCATGCACTAGTTCACCAAAGTCGTACTTTCAAAAGTGTTAGGTATCTCTCCATATCCACCCGTGCTGAGATACGTATAACACCACCAAAGCCTTAAATCTTAGAGGCTTAGAGTGTAATGTAACCATTTTGAATCATCCACCTGAGATTCCAATGATTTTTCACACTCTTGTAAGTCCAGTAAGCCCATCCAAAGGTTGCACGCCTATACACTTGAAGTTGTGCTTTTGCAAATTTTTGATAATCCTCCTTTGTCGCTCCATTCACTAACCACTCAGCAGTCCATTCTCCTGCATAAAAAAAAATAAATAAAATAAATAAATAAAATAATAATAATAATAATAATAATAATAAATTAAGAAAAAAAATCCTACATAATTAATATGTGAGATTGAAAAAAAAAAAAAATGTAGTTACACTAGTAAAGTAGTCTAGATCTGATCATGTTGTTTTAAGGATTTAATAAAAATATTGTATGTAATATAAGTTTTATAGGGGGAAAAAGTTAAATATGAAGATATCATTTCTATATGGTCCTAACCAATATTAACATTAAGTCATCATTAATTTCATATCAATGTTAATTTTTCCATGTGTGATACCTTTTTCCTAACATATAAGAAGGGCCGTGACTGTGAAGATGTCAAACACCCCATCCAATCTGACTCAAATCACTCGATCAAGGTTTCAAAGGCCAATTGACCAAATTGGTAAATAAAAAAATACCCATAGCGACAATTTGGTAAAAAAAAAAAATCTCAGTCGACATTTAGACGACGACAAAAAAAAAAAAAAAAAACACTAGAATTTTCGACAAACTCTTCAAAAATCCTAATTTAATTTGTTATTGTGTTTTTAAATTTATTTTTTTCATTTAAAAATTTGAATTAATGTGCCATCCCTTTTTATTTTGCTAAATTCCAATATCAAATTTATCTCCAACCTGTTTTTTAAAAAGAATTTCTTTGATTAGGGGTAGGAAAATTAGTATTTAACTGTTTTTTTTTACTTCAAATTGATAATATCTTAAAAGGGGTAGGAAAATTAGGTAGGAATTTTTTTATTTTTTTTATTTTAAAAAACCCACGAAAATCGAACTAAATTAAACATTCACGAGTAATTTGTCGGAAATTTTTATGTTTTTTGGGTTAATTATCGCCTGAGATATTTTTTTACCAAATTATCGATTGAGGTTGGTTCTTTTTTACTAAATTGTCGCCGGAGTTATTTACCAATCTGGTCAATTGGCCATCTGTATAAGTATAATAATATAGTATGACTCTACTTTAAACTTATTCCAACCCAACACAGTACAATCGAATCCAACCAAGTCACTTGAATTGACACCTCTAGGTAGTAGAGGCGTAAGGCTATCATATTCTAGCTACTTAATAGAGCATAGTTGGTTAGAGTTTATTTTTCAACTTATTGATTAGTTATTGGGCATGTGCTAATCTAATTAAGGGCCTCAAGGGGCTGCTTTCATTGTCTTAATATTACTACTCTTCTTATCTATTCCTAATTATCTCTAACTGTCCTACAATACTCTTAATTAGATGTACTTAATTATAGAGCTGTTAATATCAGTATTCATGATACAGGGTAGCGTACAAAGCCACCGAGGGCTTTCATTGAATAACTTACCAACAAATATAAGGGGACCGCCGTTAGAGTTTGTCACGTAACCCAATTCCGAGGACCGGTTGTTGTAGATAAAGTCGATGTTTTGATGGACATTCAAGCCGTTATATTTATCCTCGAAAAGGCTGTAGTAATGAACATCAATTACATTTAACTGCAATCTACCAGCAAGGGGAAACAACTCCCTTGGATTCATAGGCCCCTCTATGCGATTGCTCATTATAACATACGCACTTGAAGAATGCTTCCGGACTGCATTGTATCCTGCCTGATAGTACTTTTTTAAGGTCTCTACTGTCACAACAGGCGCTAAGGGCTCATTGAGCAGCTCTACTGCTAGCAAATTAGGGAATTTCGCGTATCTGCATTCAAATGACAATGTGCTTAATGCTTTCAGCTACTTATATACTGTTAAAGGACCATCTCAACTAAAAGTTCAGATGGTTGAGGCTCAGAAATATGTTTTAAACTCTGCACTCGTACCTTGAAGATAAGAAGTCGATGACAGAAACAGTCTGTTGTACAGTAGCATTGGACTTTCCCCATTCAACAGTTCCGTCTCTACTTGCACTGGGGTCAAATCTATTTTGTGCCCCGGGTGCTGCGTGTAGGTCTACAATAACCCGGATACCATATTTTCTACAGGTTTACAATATACACTTGACAATATTAGTCTCTTTTAAGAGGCTCTTGCGATTGAATAAAAATGAGAGTGAGTAAAATGAAAACGTACTGTGCCCAAGTGAAGGCGTTGTCCAAAGCCTGCAACGAACCTCCCACGAAAGGCTTAGGAGGATTCGGGCCACTGGCTATCCACCATCCTACAGGAATTCTAACAGCATTGAGTCCATTATGAGAAATGAACCTGAAATCATCTTCAACTATGAACGTCTTCCAGTGATTCTGTTACATTGAATAAATTTTATATCTGTCACAATGTTATCAACTTTCAATTGCAAATAAGTATATGCTGCTTACGGCAGTGCTTACCCTCATAACTCGAGGGGCTTTTTCCGGGCCATAACCATTAGTAACCTGAAATTCACCTAGCAAGGTATTTACTATGCTCATCACAAAAACAGATGGGTTATCATCCCCCCAACCAGCATCTCCTGCATAATCTGCAGTGACAGAATCCTCTGTCTTTGCCTGCAGGAAAAATCTCAATAATAATGAATCAATGTCACCTAAGCCATTAAATGTGTACTAAAAATAAGAGTTTAACCTGTAGATATAGACCATTTGAAGCTTGAATTCGAACACGATTTTTGTCATCAGATTTTCTGACAATCCGAAATATTTCAGAAGCAGCAGGGGTTTTGGCTTCGGCAACTACTGCAGGGCTGCCTTTACTGTCCTGCACTACTCCTGCAAAGTGATTGCTGAACACCCGGAAATTGAACGTGTTTTTGTTGATTCTCCATAGCTACACTCCAAAAATTTGTTACAATTTACAATAATAGCGAACAAAGTAATAAGTAAACTACTACCTCCATTTCAAATTATTTACAACGATTTGAGATAAAGTGTGAGTAAATGAAAATGTTTATTCGTTGCAAATAATTTGAAATAGAGGTTGTACAACATGTCACCCAACAAAAATCGCAACAAATTATATTAAGCTAATGTTTAGAAGGTGTAGCTTACCTTGAAGGCTTCCCAACTTGCTGCAGAGGTTCTATTAGCAACTAAGATGGTCCCTCCGCCGTTCTCAGCACATACATACTTGCCAATTGTCACTGATTTTAGCCGAATTTGTGTTCCATCCTGTATATTTTTAGGTAGTATTATACAAATTTAGTGTCCTAATTAGAGAAATAAAATGCTTGTGTGTCAAATCAATATCTTGGCATAAAATCTGAACTCCATTTCTCATCAGAATTTTACATACAAACACATTAGTGGAAAATGCAACGTCTAATTTAATAAGTTATTTAGTTAATCAATCCCCATGTAGCCACACATGTACGAACTTAGTTATACATGATACGATTTGATTTTATAAAAATTAGTAATAACACGTGACTATTGATCACAGACAAAGATGAAAACTAGATAATACAAACCAGCAAGTCTTTGTTAGGAATGCCATCAAAAAGAGAAGGTACTATCCCGCCTTCAGTAACAAGCCATCCTCCTAGATTAACTGCCTTAACTTTAAAACCCGGGGTTAAGCCATGTCTGTTAGCCCTCCCAGCTTGGCACCCTACGATCAAATCTTAGGAAAATTTGTCAAAAATGCCAGTTTAAGTGGTCCACTTTGTGATAAAGTTCCTTTTATAATAAAAGTGGCAGCAAAGGTCCTTTTTATCCCACTTGGATTGTGAAGAGGGTCCTTTGATCGGATACCAGATATTAACTTTATTTTTCGGCAAAAAATAAAAATAAAAGACAAGTGCCCTCATAAAACCGTTTTTTTTAAAAAAGAAAATTTCCCCAATTACACATTAAACACACAAATGGGAGTCAAACCGCAAACTAACCTCAAATTTTGCCCAACTACACCCAATGAACCTTTTATTATCGCACATGCCACCTGGAGTATAGACTATAAAGTGGGTTTAAATCAGTGGCGGATCCAGGAATTGGACCTAGGGGGTTCGAAATTTATCAAACTCCCGATATCCAAATGCACGGATATAAATCGGGTATACAAGTATAAAATAGAATGGTCAAATAAATATCAATACACAAGTAAATAACAAAAAAGTCCAAATTTCAATAAAATTGCAAAATAAAATGATCCGATACAACAATACATAACTTCAATTAAATGTCAAAATACAATACATAAAAAAGATCAAATTACAAAAGCATTCTTCGAGTTTTCATACTTTGAAAATGTTCCAATACATCATTGTCCCTAACGTTAGCAAAAAGATCTCTTTCAAGAAATGTGACTAAACAATCATTCATTAGTTGATCTCCCATACTATTTCTCAGCTTGTTCTTCACATAAGTCATCGAAGGAAACACCCTTTCCACACTTGCAGTTGCCACCGGAAGGATTAATACTAATCGAACAAGCAAATAAACCATTTTGTAAGAACAATGTTTATTTGTTTCAACTAGCATCATAGAAAGCTCATTAATATCCTTCAAGTTGTTGAACCTCTCATCTTTCCGTATGTCATCAATAAAAAACTCAAGTTCATGACAAAGTGTTGTCATTGTCATATCATTACTTGGAAACTCTTTCGGGTAAAAATCGGCAAGTCTCATCAACTTTTTCTTATCAAATGCAGCAAAAGAATTGATATATAGGATTCAAGCAAGCCATACAAACAAGCAACTCCATATTTGCCTCATCAAATCTATTATTAAGCTCTTGAAGTTGTAAATCGATAACACTTAAAAACATCTCAATTCGAAAGCGATGAAGATTTTGAACTTTAGCAAAGAAGCGCTTTGATCTCCCACGGGGAACATACAAATCACTCATACCAGGAACATCAATGTTATGTTTAACACAAAAACAAGTGACAAGATCTAAAAAGTCATCCCACCCATGTTCCCTCATCTTTTGCAACCTCTCTTTGGTCAAGGTAACAAATGACATGGCATTAACAATATCTTGATCCCCCCTTTGCAAAGCTTGACACAATTTATCTGTTATCCCAAAAATTTTGGACATCAAGTGTATCATGAATATGAACTCAAATGACTCAAATGTATCCATAATAGTGATAGCTTTGACACGATCCTCTTTGTAAATCTTATTTGCTCCAATCTTTTCAAGAACCTTAACAATGGTAGAATACAATGAAGTGACATTCGCAACAGTTTTATAATGTGATCCCCAACGAGTATCACCCGGCCTACCCAAACCCATCTCTTGGTTTAACCCTTGTCCACTTTCAATTTCACCTAAATCTAATGCTTCAAGCACTTCTTGAGATTGAGTTTCTCTGATCATTTCCCTTCGCTTACAAGATACTCCAATCACATTCAACAACATTGTAAGTTGTTTAAAAAGCCAAATACAATTATCATTTTCTTTAGCAACAGCAACAAGAGTCGATTGAAGTTGATGAGCAAAACAATGAACATAATAAGCTTCTTTCGTATCATTCATGACCAAAGTTTTTAGACCATTTATCTCACCCCTCATGTTACTAGCCCCGTCATAACCTTGTCCACGAACTCTAGACAAACTCAATGAATGCTCCATAAGCAAAGTTTCAATTGCAAGTTTTAATGTTAAAGCAGTGGTATCTCCAACATGTACAATTCCAAGAAACATAACCTTTCACCTATCCCACCTTTTTTATTCACATAACGCAAACAAAGGGCCATTTGTTCTTTTTGAGACACATCACTAGACTCGTCAGCTAGTATACCAAAGTAGTCACCATTAAGATCTTCTATAAGTAGCCTAGTGGTCTCTTTGGCACAAGAGTTTATAAGGTCTTTTTGGATGGATGGAGCAATCATTTGATTGTTTCCGGGAGCACTAGTTAATACAACCTGCTTAACATCATCATTATTATAAGCAAGCCATTCTAAAAGTTCTAGAAAGTTCCCTATATTACTTGAATCCTCACTTTCATCAGTTGAACCCCCTGATCCCCCGCTAGATCCGCCACTGGTTTAAATTGAGTTAGAAGATAAAGGAAGTATGGATTGTGTTTTAACTTTTAATCGAGTTGAAAGAAATGTAATTTATTTAATGGAGTGTATAGTACTCCATATTATGTAAATTGGAGTATAGTATTGATGAGTTGACACAATTATATGCCTCATGTTTTAACTTTTTATTTTAAAGTTAAAATGTCAACTCAGATTTACGTTTCACAAGTTCAAAAAATATTAAGGGTTTATCTAACTAGTACCAAAACATAATTAAAATTAATGTTATTAAAAGGTTGTTAATGTGTTCAATATTAATAAAAAAGATAAACATTATAAAAGGCGGTTACTCGGTTAGTCAAAAGATATGTTAGTAAAACAGAGTGGGATGAACAAGATATGCTCTTCTAGGCATGTAACTAACAGTGTGTTTGAATAACATTAGAGGAAGGAAAAGAAGGGGAGGGAGGAGAAGAGGAGGGGAGGGAAAGGGAGGGGAGAGAAGAATGGTGAGTTTTCCTTCCAAATCTCTCCATTGTTGGAGGGATCATTTTCCTATAATTTAATCCCTCCATTTCTCTCCCCTCCAATTCCCTTACTTCCTCATTTGTTATCCAAATGAAAGATATCACATCTCTCCATTTCCCTCCCCTTCTTTTCCTTCCATTTCCTTCTATCCAAACACACCGTAAATGCCATATTTCTAATAGTAATTGAATTTCATTGCCAATTGAGTTGGTAGGCTAATAAGTATGTATTTTAGCTTCTACATTTTATTGCAAAGTGTAAGTTTCAATCAATTTGTAAGTTGATCCGATGAAAAGATAAGAAGCATATTGTTCAGGCACATATGCTCCAATGTGATAAACCATGCATAGAGAATATTTTACAAACCATAAGTTCCACACCTTTGGATATATCAGACTACATATAAACTAAAATGGATTCAAAAGGAGCATGTTTCGTCTAGTTGTGTTTTTGTAGAAAATAACTCTTGACTTAGATCTGATGTGTTTTCTTCTGATGAAGCAACGACTTTAGCATGTACCTTTTTGCTCAAACACGCTAGTTCCATGGCCACTTGCATCATGGTTGGCCTTACAACTCCTTCAGGGTGCAGACAACGCTTTCCAAGACTTACAACCACCATTATGTCTTCAGTCATATTGCTACTTTCTAAGATTATTGGATCCAACATTTCATATAAATCAGAATCCCCTGTTTCGAAACTGCATCACCAAACTCGTTGCATAGTCTGAAGTCACACGAATTGGCTTCTGTCCTGTTAATAATTCAACCAGAACAACTCCAAAGCTATAAACATCACTCTTTTCAGTAAACTGCCTTGAACGAAAGTATTGCGGATCAAGATACCCAAATGTCCCACGTACACAAGTTGTTAAGTGAGTTTGATCCATGCTAATTGATCTCGAAATTCCAAAATCACAAACTTTGGCCGTGTACTTGTGATCCAAGAGTATATTACATGATTTAATGTCTCTGTGATAGATAGGAGTTGAAGACGACGAATGTAGATAAGCAATAGCCCCGGCAACTTCAGATGCAATTCTTAGTTGAATTTCCCAAGTTTCTCGAAACTCTTCATTAGGACTGAATGAATTCCGAAAGAGTTCCATTGGGGATGAACTCGTAAACTAAATGTAAAATTTTAGTTTCCAAGCAACATCCAAGCAACTTAACTACATTTCTATGGTTGACTTGTGAGAGAACAATTACCTCATTTATGAACTCCTTCCAATGGCTCTCACTCAATGACCTTGCTCTTTTGACGGCAATAAGTTTCCCATCACTTAGCATACCTTTGTACACCGTACCTTGCCCCCTTTACCAATTACGCGGTTTTCGTTGAAGTTGTCTGTTGCTTTCTTTAGCTCATTTTTTGTGAAGAGTCTGGTTTTCTTGGCTTCTTCATGGTTTAACCTTTGTTCTTCTAATCTTCCTTTGAAGTATTTCCTTTTAAGCTTAGTTTCCTTTCTTCTTTTTTGGGTTTTGCAACACCAACATTGGCCAATAAAGTAGCACGTCAATATAATTGAAACTGCAACTGCAATTTTCAAGGTTGTATGAGTATTATATAACTAATTGCCAAACACTACTAAAAAATTACGTGTAGTATTTTTTAGTGCAAATTAAAAAAGCAAAATGTTGCACTAACATATAATTATTGTACTTTTAAGAATAAACTAAAACTTACCTGACAAGATTATTATGCGGATAATGGTGGAATATTGTTCTCCTGTCAATCAAATACGAAAGTTTTGTTACCATAGTATATACTCTCGAATTTAGAACACATTAGATCTTCACTCATTAGTGAAGGGATGAACAAATGGGGTAAAAAATAAGGGGACAAAGGGAGAAAAGATAGAACTTGTTTTTTTTAACTAATAAGTTTGTTAGGTGGAGTTGGCGGAAAACTTGATATCAGAGGCAGGGCTGGGCCGCTTCAGGGTGGGTGACGGGACAGGGCCTCTAAAAAAAGCCCAAAAAGTAGTATATAAACAATTTGTTACGCAAATAATCATAGAAAACATAAGTGCTCTTAAAAAAAAAAAGGGTCAATGGCTTTCTAGTGTTTATTTTATTTTTTGAGATCTATTGGATAAGGAAAAAAATTCACTTAAATTAAGTAAATTATATGTTTTGAATACTTGCTAAAATATTATACAATACAATAAAACAAATTAATTGTCACAAAAAATTATACTAATTAAATTGGTCAATAATATCAAAGTAAAATAGGTGTATATTATTATAGTTCATTTTCTCATAACACAAAATATGTTTTTCAAAATAAGATACTCTATATAAATTTTTTACAAAAAAAATAAAATAAAATATATATATATATATATATATATATATATATATATATATATATATATATATATATATATATATATATTCCCTTCATATTTGTTAGTAACTTGGTTTGATTTTAATACTATTCGCATACACCATTTTGATCATGTTTGTGCATCTATTACATACGAGTTAAGTAGAGAGTGAGGGATAGCCCAAGTGGTTAGAGCTTTCCTCCCGATTCTAGGAGATCCTGGGATCGATTCTCATCACCCTCGCCCTTGTGGCCCTTTACGCATCAAAAAAAAAATCTCCGTTTCATAATGTTAGTCCCATATGGAATCAATCACATAAAATAAGAATATATATATATATATATATTTGGAATCTAACATTAAAGTACTGACATAATTCATAATTAGTTTACCTTATTTAAAATTTTAAATTTTTTATAAGAAAAGCAAAAGTCATTATTGCATAATTTTGGCCATTTTTGGTTGAAGGGATTTGGATGGAAAAGAAAAGAAAGGAAAGGAAATTGTTTTAATCAAATTCCCATGTTTGGTTGAATAAGAAAAATCTAAAGGAAAGGAAGGGAATTGAAGTGAGAGGAAAGTCTCTAAACAAAATTACAGTGTGTTTAGATAACATTAGAGGAAGGAAAAGAAGGGGAGGGAGGAGAAGAGGAGGGGAAGGAAAGGAAGGGGAGAGAAGAATGGTGAGTTTTCGTTCCAAATCTCTCCATTGTTGGAGGGATCATTTTCCTATAATTTAATCCCTTCATTTCTCTCCCTTTTAATTCCCTTACTTCCTCATTTGTTATCCAAATGAAAGATATCACATCTCTCCATTTCCCTCCCCTTCTTTTCCTTCCATTTCTTTCTATCCAAACACACCGTTAGGCTTTCCTTTCCTCCCAAAATTGGAGGAATTTGCACCGGAAAGAGAAAAATAAAAGTAATTTCCTTTCTCCTCCCTTCATTTCCTATTCATCAACCAAATGTTGGAAAATACAATCATCTTCCTTTCCCTTCTTTTCCTTTCTTTTTCCTTCCCATCCTTTCTCTGCTTTTCCTTTACTTATATTAAACCAAAAGATTTCCTTACTTAGAGTCATGTCATCAATTCACAACTTATTAATTCCAAAAATAATCAAGTTATAAATAAATGAAATATATTCAATAAGGGTATATCTTTTTGAAACGCCCAAAATAATATATGGGACTAACATTATAAAATGGAGTAGTACTAGTTACGTACACAACCACTCCCTGAACTAGGCCAAAGTTGCAAACTAGTCACTAAACTTACAAAAGTTGAAATTCACTCACTCAAATCGATCAGTTATGACCTACAATAACAGATTAATTCTATAAACTTCCTAAACATTATGACATAGAAGTTTTTAACTTTCTAAACTTCTTAACTATTTTAATAAAAATATTTAACTATGGTTAAATTTTTATTTTAAAAAATATTAGATTAATTAAGAATTAATTTTTTTAAAAAAATAAGCCAACCCCTCCCCACCCAACCCATTTCCCTTACTGGTGTCCAACTCTTCACGCCGGTGCGATGCCCATCTCCCTCCCCTTGCTCCCATCCACTCTCGACACCTTTCCCTTTTCATTTCCCACACCCCTCCTCCCATTCCTCTATGACGACTCCCACCCCCTCCCTAAAACGACCCTCCTATCCCATGTTCCTCTCCCAAAAAAGGACCCTCCTTGAAACGACCCCTTCTCGAAATGACCTTCTCTGTTGTTCCCTTCTTGAAAAACGACCCCCAAACCTTAAACACCCCATTCAAAACCAAACATGTTTAAGGTTTAGGGCCAATTTTCAGGAGGGAGTTCGCTTTGAGAAGGAGATTGTTTTCAGGGTGGGGAAAGGGAGGATGGATGGGTGTTGTACCGAGGGTGGGGGAGATGGGCGTTAGTAGATGTGTAGGGGGCTGGAGCTAAGCTAGGTGGGTGGTGAGGGTGTTGGTTTTTTTATAAATTTTTTCTAACTTATTTTGATCATTAAAAAAACTCTAAATACTACCTCCGTTAACGGTTATTTGCAACATATACAATAAATGGATGCTAACTATTATGTGCAACAAATGTTTTTTTTTTCCTTTTTAGATAATCATTTCTCTCTATCTCTCTCCTCATCACATGCACCCAACTTTTTCTCTCTCCATTTTACTCTCACAAACAAATTTTGCCTAGGAGTCCGCATACACCCCCTTTGTTGCAAATAATAGTTAACGGAGGCCGGAAGTATTATTAACTCTAACTTTAAGTTGTTCAA